CCCCGCCCCCCACCTGGCCCCGACATCCCCACCCCAGATTGCCCATGTTCTTGGAACCCCCACTCCACGATTCTTCTCCCAAAAACGTCCAACGCCCCCCTCCCCGCCCCCCACCTGGCTCCGACATCCCCACCCCAGATTGCCTCTGTTCTTGCGACCCTCCACCCCACGATTCCTTTCCCAAAAACGTCCAACGCTTCCTCCCCGCCCCCCCACCTGGCCCCGACATCCCCGCCCCAGATTGCCTCTGTTCTTGGGACCCCCCCACCCCACGATTCCTCTCCCAAAAACGTCCAACGCCCTTCTCCCCGCCCCCCACCTGGCCCCGCCATTCCCGCCCCAGATTGCCTCTGTTCTTGGGGACCCCCCACCACACGTTTGCATGAACTCCCAGAAACATCCACGCCCCTCCTTCCGCCCCCCCCCCCCCCACATTGGCCCCGACATTCCCCACTCCAGATTGCCTTTGTTTTTGGGACCCCCCCCCCACGATTACTCTCCCAACAACGTTCTAACTCCCTTCCCCGATTCCCCACCACCTGGCCCCCCCGACATTCCCACCCTCTATCTTGGCTCTGTTCTTGGGACCCCCCACCCACGATGCTCTCCCAAAAAAGTTCCAACGCCCCCTGTTCCCGCCCCCCACCTTGTGCCAACCGACATCCCACCCAGATTCGCTCTGGTTCTTGGGACCCCCCACCCCACGACTCCCTCTCCCAAAAACCGTCAACGCCCTCTCCCTGGCCCCCAACTCGTCCCCGAACTCCCGCACCCCAGATTGCCTCTGTTCTTGGGACCCCACCCCAAGATTCCTCTCACAAAAACGTCCAACGCCCGCCTACCCGCCCCCGCACCCCCACTCTGGCCCCCCGACATCCCACTTAGATTGCCCTCGTTCTTGGGACGCCCCACTACCCACCAATCTCTCCCAAAAACGTTCCAACGCTCCCTCCCGCCCCACCCAACCTGGCCCAGACATCCCCACCCGATGGCCTCGTTCTTGGGACCCCCCACCCACGCTTTCCTCTCCCCAAAAACGTCAACGCCCTCCTCCGCTCCCACCTGGCTCCGACATCACCACCCCAGATTGCACGCTGTTCTTGGGACCCCCCACCCCACGATTCCTCTCCCCAAAAAATCCAACGCCCCCCTCCCCGCCCCCCACCTGGCCCCGATATCCCCACCCCAGATTGCCTCTGTTCTTGGAACCCCCCACCCCACGATTCATCTCCCAAAAACGTCCAACGCCCCCCTCCCCGCCCCCCACCTGGCCCCGACATCCCCACCCCAGCAGATCGTTGCCTATGTTCTGGACCACCCCCACCACACGATTCCTATCCCAAAAACGTACAACGCCCTCTCCCCGCCCCCCCCCCACCCTGGCCCCGAAAATCCAACAACCAGAATTCCATCTGTTCGTTCGGACCCCCCCACCCACGAGAGTCTTCTCCCAAAACGTCCAACTGCTCCCCGTCCCCGCCCCCACCTGGTCCAGAACTATCCCCACCCAGATGCCTCTGTTCTTGGGACCCCCCCAGTCCCCGATTCTCTCCAAAAACGTTCCAAGGGCCCTATCCCCGCCCCCCACCTTGGCCCGACCATCACAACCCAGATTGCCTCTATTCTGGAGACCCACCCACCCACGATTCTCGTGGAGTCCCAAAACCGTCCAACGTCCTCTCCCGCCCCCCACCTGGCCCCGACATCCCCACCCCAGATTGCCTCTGTTCTTGCGACCCCCCACCCCACGATTCCTCTCCCAAAATTGTCCAACGCCCGCCTCCCCGCCCCCCACCTCGCCCCGACATCCCCACCCCAGATTGCCTCTATTCTTGGGACGCCCCACCCCATGATTCTTCTCCCAAAAACGTCCAACGCCCTTCTCCCCGCCCCCCACCTAGCCCCGACATCCCCACCCCAGATTGCTCTGTTCTTGGGACCCCCCACCCCACGATTCCTCTCCCAAAAACGTCCAACGCCCCCCTCGCCGCCCCCCACCTGGCCCCGACATCCCCACTCCAGATTGCCTCTGTTCTTGGGACTCCCCACCCGACGATTCCTCTCCCAAAAACGTCCAACGCCCCCCTCCCCGCCCCCCACCTGGCCCCGACATCCCCACCCCAGAGTGCCTCTGTTCTTGGGACCCCCCACCCCACGATTCCTCTCCCAAAAACGTCCAACGCCCCCCTCCCCGCCCCCCACCTGGCCCCGACATCCCCACCCCAGATTGCCTCTGTTCTTGGGACCCCCCACCCCACGATTCCTTTCCCAACAACGTCCAAAGCCTCCTTCCCCGCCCCCCACCTGGCCCCAACATCCCCACCCCAGATTGCCTCTGTTTTTGGGACCCCCCACCCCACGATTCCTGTCCCAAAAACGTCAAACGCCACCCTCCCCGCCCCCCCACCTGCGGCCAGGCCCCGACATCCCCACCCCAGATTGGCTTGGTTCGACCGGGGGTGGTCTCGTTCTTGGACCCCCACCCCACGATTCCTCCCAAAACCGTCCAACGCCCCCCTTCCCGCCGCCCACCTGGCCCCGACATCCCTACCCCAGATTGCATTGCCTCTGTTCTTGGGACCCCCCACCCCACGATTCCTCTCCCAAAAACGTCCAACGCCCCCCTCCCCGCCCCCCACCTGGCCCCGACATCCCCACCCCAGATTGCCTCTGTTCTTGGGACCCCCCACCCCACGATTCCTCTCCCAAAAACGTCCAACGCCCCCCTCCCCGCCCCCCACCTGGCCCGACATCCCCACCCCAGATTGCCTCTGTTCTTGGGACCCCCCACCCCACGATTCCTCTCCCAAAAACGTCCAACGCCCCCCTCCCCGCCCCCCACCTGGCCCCGACATCCCCACCGCAGATTGCCTCTGTTCTTGGGACCCCCCACCCCACGATTCCTCTCCCAAAAACGCCCAACGCTCCCCTCCCCGCCCACCACCTGGCCCCGACATCCCCACCCCAGATTGCCTCTGTTTTTGGGACCCTCCACCCCACGAGTCCTCTCCCAAAAACGTCCAACGCCCACCGCCCCCCCACCTGGCGACAGCTATCCAGCTTTACGTATTTTCGTCACCGACGCGAGGCTCCTCTCAGCGACTTCCTTCCGTTTGCGCTCTTGGCCAGCACAGCAGCCGTTGCACCTCTGCTTTCCATCCGCCTTCTGCGTCGTTCGCCCGGCCAACCAGGTGCTGTAGTGCTCCCTCTCGAAAGCGCCCTTACATTCCACACATTTCCACTTTCCACGCTGCAGCTTCGCGCCATCGATGCAGCGCTTGCACTTGCGGTGACGCTCTGCCACGCCCTCCCACATCCACTGCGAAAAGCATTCACGCCGCTGCGCCACCCCGCACGCAACGCAGGCTCTCTCGTCCTTCCTCGCAGCCGCGTCCCTCTGCGCAGCGCCAGCGTCGACGCAGCGCTTGCACTTCCGGTCACTCGCGACCACTCCATCCCACATCTTTCGTGAAAAGCAATCGCGCCGTTGCGCCACCCCGCACCCAACACAGGTCTTCACGTCTTTGCTCGCCGCCATATTCCGTTGGGCGGTTGCAGCGTCCACGCACGTGGTACAGGCAATCGACGCTTCCGACGCGTTGACCAACATGTGAGAGGAGAATTCCGCCTTACTCTTCGCCGCTCCACATGCTGAGCATACCACTCGCTTCGCTTCTTCGGCGCGGGCCTTCTCCACCTCTCTCTGCGACTTCTTACAAGCCTTGCATGTGGGTTCGTCGTTGACCTGTTCCGCTTTGGCAAATTCAACTGGTAACTTCTGCTGGCCGCAGCGCGAACACGTCAGGTGCTTCTTCAGCTCCTCGCATTCCAGGCACATCCCTCCTTTGCACCGGGCGTTCCCTGCCTTATCCCACTGAAACGCCGCGAAAGCTTGCTCGTACTTCCGATCCTCGCACACGCGACAACTCCGTCTCTCCGGGCAGTCCACGCAGCGCCGCGTGGTCAACTTCGACGGATGGTGCTGTGACGCGTGGAACGCCTCCTGGCACTTCCATAGACCACACTCCATGCATTGCCACGGCGTGCCAGCCCTCTTCTTATCTTCCATGCACACGCTGCACACGCGGAGCCCATCTGCGCGGCTCCACTGCCCGACCGTTGGGTACATGTTCTTGTACTTCGTGCACCCGCAGACCGCGCACCTGCCAGACGGCATGAACTCGCGCTCTATCGCCTCCCAGTCCAATTCTTCTCCGCGCAACGTGCGCAGCAGTAAGTCCGGGCCCTTCCGTTCGTCCTTCTTCTGATACGGCGCAATGTCGAAAGGGCGAAAGATCAGCATGTCCTCGCGGCGCTGCACCCGCGTCAGTGCCACGTAGCTCGACAGAGGTGACGTGCCCCCGCCGATGCTCAGGTCCACTATGACACCTTGCTTGAACGTCTGCCCCTGCGCCGCATGGGCCGTCACTCCGAAGGCCGGGGCCAGCGGGAACTGCCGTCTTTTGACCTTCAGTCGCGGATGCGGACGGCCCTTGTCCACGAACCAATCTTTCTTCTGCGGGATCACGGGGTACAGGCCGGGCGTCTTCAATCCCTCGATCGTCCACTGGCATGGCTTCCTGCCGCCGTTCCCGTCATCGCCTTCGTCGAACAACACGAAAATCACTTTCGGCGTCTTCTTCAATATGGTCTCCCCGCCGCGCGTGACTCGATCATCGACGCCGTCCCCGTCGCATACCCAGGATTGCACCCGGCCAACGCGACCGCGCAGCAGGTTCTTGTCCTCGCTTCGATCGATATGATCGGTCAGAGCGACGGGCATGCCTTCAGCGATGGGTAAGAAGCCGTACAAGTCCCCGCTCTCCTTGTCGTGGCGTTGGGGCCATGCCATCTTCTGCTGCGGCAGATCCGGCCGCTCCCGCAGCGCCTCTGGCGTGGACGTATCTCGCGCAGGGACGTACACCATCGGCTTCCTGTGCTTGCGTGCGTACTGGGACGCACGGAGCTTGTTCGCCTCGTACTTCACGTCGTTGTTTGGGAACACACCCGGCGCCACGAGGAACTTGTCTGACTGCAGACGCGGGTCGTCGGGGCCATCCACCACGAGCTTGCGGCGCGCGCGTTCCGCTCTGCACACCTTGCACTCCTGCTCGCGGATATCTTTCGGCGTCACGGGGCGTTTCCGTCGTTGCCCCGCGCTTGACGACGCTGCGTCCCTTCCGCCACTGCACAACTCCCGACACGCCCGATTCCCGCAGCATACGTCCCCCCCCAGCCAGCTCCCAGGGACGGTCGTATGCCGGCCGTGCAAGAATGCGTGCGCATCCGCCGACAGCGACCCTGTTCGGAATTCCTCCTGCACCTCCTTCAACCAGGCGTCGTCGCATCGCTCGCACTCTACCAGCTCTGTCACGCCCTGAACCCCACACTCGGCTCCGCCCCACAGTAGCGACTGCCCGTGCAACACGGGTGGCAGCGAAGTGTACCTGCGCGCAGCCGAAATCCGCTCCGTGGGGACGTCAGCGAGGAAGCCTCCGTCTGGGGGGGCCAGCTGCCAGAAGTCACCACTCAGCACGACGTTCAGGCCGCCGAACGGGCGTGGAACGCCATCGTCGCCGAGTTTCGTCGTGCCCACGTCCCGAATCACCCCGCGAAGTTTCGCGTCCACTTCTGCTAACAATTTAGCGCTCACCATGCTTATCTCATCGATAAAGAGCCACCTCCACTGGAGCAGTCGCTTCGCAGTCTCGTACTGCAACTTCACGTCCTCCCCCCCCTTCTCTTCTCCCCGCTTGATGGCCGGAATGCCACACGCATGGTGAATGGTGTCGCCCCCCAGCAGCTGAGCCATGACGGCCTGCAGGGCGGTTATCTGGAAGTGCACTCCGATAGTCCATTTCATCACCTTCTCGAACAGCTCATGACGAATAATGCGAAGCACGTGCGACTTGCCGGTCCCAGGGCCCCCGTGCATGCACCACTGCAGCGGCTCACCCATGCTGCCGTCCTCACTTCCCTCGCCGTCTATCTCGCGCATTACTCGATTCGCCACCTTCTTCACCATCTCGAACTGCTTCGCGTTCACTACACGCCGCCCCGTCTGCTTGTCCACCCGGAACTCTAGATCCTTGAGCCACGCGGTCACGTCCTCCGATGTTGCGGCCTGGCCAGCGACGGTAACTGCGCCGTCAGCCTCCGCCAGGCGGTCCGCCATGGACTGCTCCTTGTTCCGAGATTTGCGCGCCTCCCTGAGTACCTGCTCAACGTCGCAGGACTCTTCTGCGGGCCACGCACCCAGAATCTCGCTCAACGGCGTTTCGCCATCGCGGAGCCCCCACACCTGTTGCGCGACACTCATGCCCCCTTTCGAATTTTCGTAGTGGGAGACGCCTCCGGCTCCCTGCCCAGGGTCTGCGTCGTCCTCCTCGCTGCTGCTGTCCCCGTCGCCGTCCTTGCGCCTCTTCCCGCCCGCGCGGGACTTCAGCGCCTCGTCGAGCTGATCGAAGCCCACGTCCAACTCCTCGTCGCTCACGTCTTCGTCGGTCCCGTCCCCCGCCTCTTCAGTGTCTCGTGGCCGAACGCGGTACACACTCAGGAAGTTGCCCACGTACCGCGCGGCTTCCCTCGTCTGCACCCCGCCGTCCAGCCATGCCACCATGGCCGCGTCCCACGTCGGCGCCTTGCCGCGCAGGCTCCCTGCAAACACGACGTGCGCGTCGGCCGCGTCGGGCCTCAACGTCCACGGGTGGAAGTACGTCGTGACAATGCGCGCAGATCGCTCCGCTTCTCCAGGACGTCCGCGTGGCACGGGCGCTCCGAAAAATGTTGGTGCCTTGGGTCTCTTGTTCCGCTTGAGCACCCACGTGTGACGAAGGTGAGCGCACCCCTCTGTCTCTGGGTAAGGCACCCAATCCACGCCCCCTCCTTCCTTTACCATGTAGTCCTCCCCAGGCACCAGGTCCTGCTCGAATCTCGGGTTCTTACAATTCTCCCGCACCTTTGCCTGCCCCTTCTGCGTCAAAACAGCGTGATGCCGGGGATGATCCGCATCCCCGAGTCTCGTCGGGAACGACAGCAACACCGGCGTCCAGAACGTCGCGAACTCGTACGGCGACAAGTGCCACAGGTCGGGCACGTTCGGTCGCAGTCCATACAACATGCCCACGTCTCGGAAGGTCACCTTTCTGCGTCTCCTCTGCCGCATGTCCACTTCAGCAAACTGCGCTTTGCGCCCGCCTCCCGCGCGGTCAGCCAGGCGCTCGACCAAGTCCACGTACTCGCGTCCATAAAAGGCGGTGGTCTGGCACGACTTCAGTGATTCCGCCGCAGTGACGTCGTCCTCCCTCGCAAACGCCCTCAGGTTCGCACACTCCACTTGCCCCCGCACGATGCCCTTGCCGTACGCGTCGCTCATGATTCGGTTCGCTACTCTCTTCCCGATCCGATTCGAATTCTCGCCCTCCAGCTGCCTGCCAAGTTTCTCTACTCCCTTGCAGCACTCCTTCACTTCGTGAAAAGCCATGGGTTGCCGCTTCGTGCAGTAGTCGCAGGCGTACCCTGCCTGTGCGTCCTGTGCCATCTGCGCGACCTTGATGATCGCTGCGTCGTTGAGCTTCTTATCGCACGCTTTCCCGCACGTACAACACACATCTGTGATGGGGAAACGATACGGCAATTGCACGTCGGAATTGAAACGTTGCGCGGACAACATGCGTGGATGCGTGCCGTTCAGACTCGCGTGATTCATCGGCCCGTGCAGGCTTCCCGTCCGATTCCGTCGCCCTGCCTTGGGCATGTCCAACGCTGCCGCCTGCCCTGGACACACGACGATGGCGCGGTCAATGAGCTGCGACGTCCGCGGAAAGTCCGCCTTACACAACTTCGGGTTGTCCTTCCGGCGGCACGCCGGCAGGGGTACTCGCTCCCCAGTCTCCTCGTTCTTCAAATGAACGTGGTTCTGCTTCCTCTCCTGCAAGTACTGCACGTCTTCGTCCAAATACGCTTTCTCCCATGCCACAGCGTCGTCTGCTGCCTCCTTCTCCGTTGCTTCTGGGTCAAGTGTGCGACACTGAAACGCGGGCCTGCAAATGAGACCGCGCTCTTCCTTGAACTCCGGCCACGACTTCTCTGCCTCCTCCAACTTGCCATCCACCTCCTCCGATGTCATCTGCTCCGAATAAACCTGGCGGCACACGCGACTCTTATACTTCAAGTAATCCTCCACGATCTTTCTTCCGCGGCCGTCCACCTCGTCGCGTACGATTTCGAATACCTCTTCCAGCGGTGTGTGCTGGTGCAGGCACTGGATGAATACCTGGCAGTGCGCGTGGAGCGACCCCGTGGACTTCTGCGCTTCGATCGACACGTAGTAGGCATCAACGCGCCCGAACGCGCCCCCACCGGGCTCAGCATTACTCCCGAACAGGTCCTGGCACGGTGCCCCGTTCTCCGCCTCGTTGCACCGCGGGCAGTTCGGACAGATCCGCACGCCGAACAAGTGACGGAGCGCGGCGTCCACCAGGATACGGAACCCGTCCACGCTGGCCATGGGATCTCTCGCAAGAATTCGTCTGCGCTCGTTCCATGGCGGCACTTCTGCCTCCCCCGCGGCCATTGGCAGGTCCATCTGCAGCCCATCCATGTCGGGGGCTACGCGCGGCCAGCCCCGACCCCCCGCCAGCCGCGACTGCGCTTCGTCATCAGCCGCCTTGTGCACAGGGTCTTGCCGTCGAGTGCGCGAGAGTCTCACCATGAGAAGATTGTGACCTTCGTCGGGCGAGAAGGTTACGAAAATGGGGACGCCGTACCGCACTCGCAGCGCGTTCGTCTCAAATCGCATGACTCGACGCGCTTCCTGTGTACCAGACAGTCGCCGCGAAGTGTGCTCTATGTGCGTAAGCAGCTTATGGGCGGCTTTCCCCAACGTTGGCACGTGCCGCACTTTGGTCATGTCGCCGTTCACTTTCTGTTTCCTATTGTTGATGTCTACGTACTTCCCGTCGAGCGCTTGATAAATCTGCTTCGCTCCTTCCGCGATTTCCGCGGGAGTGAGCTGCTCGACCTCGCCTGATGCGTTCGCGGACACATACGTGAACCACGTCCTACTCAGGTTCACGGCCGATCGAAACACAAGGTTCCACGACACGAATCCGAAGTGCCAGTCGCGGGAAATCTGGCTCTCCACGCGACGACTCATTATCCTCACCCACAGCGGCAGCTCCACCCGCGGCGCCCCGTTCCCCCTTCGGTGGCGCGGGCGCTTCATGAACTCTGGGCAGTCAGGCATTCCCGTGCAATACTTAAACAAGAACGCGAACGCTACCCCAAAATACCAGGGCTCGAACTGATCCATCATAACGTTTCCAGTGCGCACGCGGAGCCGATCCACGCGCTTCCTTTCGCGCCCAGCCTGAGTCAGCATGTCGCGCTCCACTGCTTCTCGGGCCGCCTCATTCGCGCCCGAGGGCACTCCCTCGTGGACGCGCCCGCGTTTACTTGCCCGTTCTGCCTTCCCGCCGTCTTCCTCGTCCTCGCTGGAGTTCGACGTGTCGTCGGCCCCGCCATGCGCGCACTCCTCATCCAGCCTTTGCACGAAGGTCCGCACGGCCTCAATCCGCTGCGCATTGATGTCTATTTCGTCGAAACTGCTCTTCTCACACACAACAGCGTTCGCCTTCGTGGTCTCCAAAATCTCTCCTGCCTCACGTAGCCCGTCGGGCCTCGGCACGGGCGTCGCCGCCTTCTGCATTTGGATCTTCTCCAGCGCGTCGTCCAGGGGCACCAGCCGCATGACCTCTGGTGGCACGCCTTCCTCCGGAAGCTCCATGGCCTTTCTCCGGACCTCATCCATGTCCACGTTCCGGTACGCGCGATGCCCGCGAGCCTTCGCCCCCTGGATGAGATCCACGACCACCTTCCTGCGCACGAGAGCCTGGTGTACGAACGTGGACATGCTTGCAGCAGTATCGTCGTCGCCGCCCGACTTCAAGATCACTGACACAATGCCTGCAAGCTCCGCGCCCGTGCGGGGAATTACCGGCGCATGCCCGTCCTCGGCAGCCTCTTCAGCAGCAGCCAGCTGCGCCAGAACGTCCGTCCACGGCATCGGGAACGACGTCGCGTTTCCGCGGGCCGCCATGCGGACCTCGTTCGCACCCACTTCCATGTCAAAAGACCTCTCCTTCCGGTATCGTTTCTCCAGCGTGAAGCACACCATTGATGTGATGCAGACAGAGGCGCAGATCATCTCCAATATCGTCACCTTGCTACCGAACAGTTCTTCCGGCGAATAGAAAGCCATCATATCATTGGCCAGCGCCGCGGGGGGCAGCGTCGCCTCGCCGCGAAGGCCCACCATCGCGAACGGAAGGAACGTGTGAACCAAATAATAGCATGGTGGATGGGTTCAGAGATGTTGCGGCCAGTGTTCCCCCCCATCAGGGCGAAGCTTCGGAGGATTTCGCGGATCCACCTCGGGGCGTCGTAGCCGGCGCCCTTTTGCACTCATGCTGTAGAATCGCCATCGGGTGATATACGTAACCTCCATATCGCATGCGATCAGGCGCCGAGGATTGGCGCTGTCTGCGCAAGAACGGCCCTGGGGCCCTGGAAAAGGGGAGGGCGGCGATGGGCCCAGGGAAAGACAGGGAGCGGCGACGGCGACGGCGACGACGACGTCGATTCTGTGGCTTCAGCACTCCTAAGGGCAGCGGTGGGGGCGTTCGCACGGGGTCCCGCTCGCGGAATTTTGTGGGGATGTCTCAGGCGGTTTGGCCATTTTCTGGCCCAACATCTCTCGCTTTCGGAGCAGATTTGGAAGATGTCTCAGGCGATTCGCTCGTCTCAGCACTCTAAGGGGGGCGGCGGGGGCGTTTGCACGGGGTCCCGGTCGCGGAATTTTGTGGGGATGTCCGAGGCGGTTTGGCCATTTTCTGGCCCAACATCTCTCGCTTTCGGAGCAGATTTGGAGGATGTCTCAGGCGATTCGTTCGTCTCAGCACTCTAAGGGGGGCGGCGGGGGCGTTTGCACGGGGTCCCGTTCGCGGATTTTTGTGGGGATGTCTCAGGCTTTTTTGTTATTTCTGGCCCAACATCTTTCGCTTTCTGAGCAGTTTCGGAGCCCACGAACAGGAAGGGGAGGGGGAGGGGGAGGAGGAGCAGGAGGAGGACGAGGCAGGGGAGGAGTAGGAGTAGGAATAGGAGGAGGAGGAGGAGCAGGAATAGGAGGAGCAGGAGAAGGAGGCGAACATGAGCACGAGTAGGAGCAGGAGAAAGGGATGATGATGATGATGATGGTGATGATGATGATGATGATGACGATGATGATGATGATGATGACGATGATGATGATGGTGATGGTGATGATGAGGGATGATGATGATGATGATCATGAAGGATGATGATGATGATGACGATGAGGAGGGAGGAGCAGGAGGAGGAGGAGGAGGAGCAGGAGGAGGAGGAAGAGGAGGAGGAGGGGGAGGAGGAGGAGGAGGAGGAGGAAGAGGAGGAGCTCGAGAAGCCGGTGCGCTCGGACTCCGGTGCCCATGGGGTGATGACGATGATGATTGGCAGCGTCAGAAGAATGAGGAGAAGGAGGAGGAGGAGGAGGAGGACGAGGAGGAGGACGAGGCTGAGGAGGATGGAAGATGAGGACGAGTAGGAGGAGGAGGAGGAGGAGGAGGAGGAGGAGGAGGAGGAGGATAGCATAAGCACGAGTAGAAGCAGGAGCAGGAAGGAGACGAGGACGATGAGGGGGATGAGGAGGAGGAGGCCGGGGAGGAGAATGAGGAGGAGGAGGAGGAGGAGGAGGAGGAGGAGCAGGAGCAAGAGGAGGAGGAAGAGGATGACGAGGATGAGGACGAGGACGAGGCTGAGGAGGATGAGGACGAGTAGGAAGAAGAGGAGGATGAGGAGGAGGAGGAGGAAGTGCAAGGAGGAGGAGGAGGAGGAGGAGGGGAAGAGGAGGAGGAAGAGGAAGGAGGAGGAGGAGGAGGAGGAGGAGGAGGAGAAGGAGGCGACGACGACGACGACGACGGATCAGGGCAGGAGCAGGATCATCGTGTACATGTACCTGGAGGACGGCGCCCATGGGAAGGGGGGAGGGGTTAGCACGACGCTTTGCGTCGGAGCACGATCACCAAAACCACCACCGGCACAACCATTAACAACACAATTACCAACAGCACAACCGTCAATGCATATGGTACCACCAACAGGACAACCACCAACAGCACAACCACCAACAACACAACCACCAACAGCACAAGCGACGGCGCAATATGGTACCACCACCAGTTCAATCGCCACCTGCACAACCACCACCAGCACGACCACCACCAGCACGATCGTCACTCGGACAGTATTGCAACCATCACCATCAGAACCATCACCATCATTGCAATATGGTACCACAAACAACACAAGTACGACCAACGCAACCATCACCAGTGCCGCCATCACCATCAGTCCAATCGTTGGCAGAAGAACCACTACCAGCACAATCAGCACATCCGCTACCAGCACAACCGTCAGCAGTAAACCATGACAACCACCGCCAGTGCAACTATCAACAGCACAATCATCAGCAGCGCAAGCGCCATTGCAATATGGTAACACAATCAACACAACCACGACCAACGCAACTATTACCAGCGCCACCATCGCCATCAGCTCAACCACTGGCAGAACAACGACCGCCAGCACAATCAGCACAACCGCCACAGCAGCACAACCAACACAACCATCACCAACGCAACTACCAACAGCACAAGACTCAACAGCACAAGCGGGGCGGGCGATTCGAGCCTCGGCCCCGCCGAAGCCAGGGCGGTGGAATGCCCTGTCGTTTGCGGGCGAGCGCGATTGCGCGGGCGCGAGCCCGCGAAACTTGCTAAGAAGGCATTCGTACACGCCGAGGAAAGCCTAAAAGGGCTTTCGCCTGCTCCACTCCTCCCTTTCTCTTCCTCTTTCTTTCTCTTCGCATCGAACTAGGGTCCCCTTGGCGTTATGACGCCCTCCGCTGGCCTGGGTGGTCCACTCAGGCCGCGGGGGGGGATAGCGAGAGGGGGCCCTAGCATCCTCCCCAGCTCACCCTCCTTCCCTCCCCCCCCTCGACTGTGAGTGGATTGCGAGGAAGTCTCAGGCGGAAGTCTCTGCGGGCGGAGGTGCTCGCGCTCGGTGCGGGAGCAGTCTCGCGGAGTGCTCGTGGGCGGCGCATGGCACTCTTGGGCCCTCGCGGGCCCTCGCAGGCGCTCCTCGTCGCCACTTCTCGTGGGCTTTTGGTCGCCCCGTGAAGGCCTCGCCAGCGCTCCTCGTCGCCGCTGGTCGTTGAAGGTTGAAGGCCCTCGCCGGCGCTCCTCGTCGCCACTGCTTGGGGCCGTTGGCTGCCACGTTCAAGGTTGAAGGCACTCGCCGGCGCTCCTCGTCGCCAATCACTCAGACTCACTCATCACTCAGACTCATCACTCATCACTCCGACTCACTCATGCTCCGTCATCACTCAGACTCACTCATCACTCAGACTCCATCATCACTCAGACTTGCTCATACTTGTACTCATACACTCACGACACTCGCTCAGGTCCGCTCATCGGATGGTTCACACACACACTGATTTTGAGGATGTCTCAGGCGATTCTGTGGCTTCAGCACTCCTAAGGGGGGCGGCGGGGGGGTATTGCACGGGGTCCCGTTCGCGGAATTTTGTGGGGATGTCTCAGGCGGTTTGGCCATTTTCTCTTCCAACATGTTTCGCTGTCGGAGCAGATTTGGAGGATGTCTCAGGCGATTCGCCGGTTTCAGCACTCAAAGGGGGGCAGCGGGGGGGTATTGCACGGGGTCCCGTTCGTGGAATTTTGTGGGGATGTCTCAGGCGGTTTGGCCATTTTCTCTTCCAACATGTTTCGCTGTCGGAGCAGATTTGGAGGATGTCTCAGGCGATTCGCTGGTTTCAGCACTCTACGGGGGGCAGCGGGGGGGTATTGCACGGGGTCCCGTTCGCGGAATTTTGCGGGGATGTCTCAGGCGGTTTGGCCATTTTCTCTTCCAACATGTTTCGTCTTCGGAGCAGGTTGGGAGGATGTCTCAGGCGATTCGCTGGTTTCAGCACTCTAAGGGGGGCAGCGGCGGGGTATTGCACGGGTTCCGTTCGCGGAATTTTGTGGGGATGTCTCGGGCGGTTTGGCCATTTTCTCCCCCAACATGTGTCGCCTTCGGAGCCCACGAACAGGAAGGGGAGAAGGAAGAGGAGGAGGAGGAGGAGGAGGAGGAGGCTGGGGACGAGGAGGAGGACGAGGCAGAGGAGGAGGAGGAGGACGACGAGGAGGACGAGGAGGAGGAGAGGGAGGCGAGCATGAGCACGAGTAGGAGCAGGAGCAGGAAGGGGAGGATGATGATGATGATGGGGATGATGATGATGAGGAGGAGGACGCGGGCAACTCGGGTGCCCAGGGCCAGACGATCGAAGCTCGAGGCTCAAAAGGTTCAGGTTTTACTCAGACGCTTCCGCTTCACTCTCCGTCACTCTCCACTCTCCTTCACTCTCCTTAGTTCAGATTCACTCATGCTCAGACTCAGTCACACGCAGACGCACTCCCACCTCGACTCGCCCATACTCATACTAAAACTCACTCACACTCAGAATCACGCTCAGAACCGCTCATACTCAGACTCCCTCCTGCTCAGACTCATCACTCCCTGGTCCGCTCAAACGCAGACCCACTCACACTCAGACTGCCTCACATCCATACCCGCTCACACTCGACTCACTCGCACTCAGACTCATTCACA